TCCTTACATTCCTAAGAGGTCTCTGAGATCTAGTTCAGAGTCTCTACTTGCTCATTCCACACACTCATTCACGAAGCATTATGGTAGTCGTTCTTTCTCTTGGGCTTCTGTCTTTCTTTGGAATGCTTTGCCTATTACAATCCGACAGGCAACTTCCATTGATGATTTTAAGGCAGCTTTAAAAACTCACCTTTTTAACTTGTATTTTTCTTAATTTTTTTCCCCCGAATTTTATTTTTACTGTTAAGCGCATTGAGGCTTTAGCATAATGCGCTATATAAGCCAAAATTATTATTATTATTATTCATGAGCGACTAGACGAGAGGAATGACAGTACAGTGGACTGACAGACGAATTACATTAACAATCATTTTCACTTACTCCTCAATGGTCCGTACCTCTTGTAGAACGCAGATTGGTAAGTATATTTAATACTTAACCAAAGCATAGAGGAAATTGAATGTGCAAAAAAATAAATATGAATCATTAAAAAATACTAAATTCTTTGCCTGCTTACTTGAGATATTCAAGGATTAATGAAATACATCTAGACTTGTACTCTTCACTTAGGTCTTCCTCCTAAATATATATAAAAAATAATTAAAATACACAAGAAATTATTAAGCCTAGCTCTTAAAAGCATTTGTGGCAAAGACAGGCCAAACAAGTCATTCATCGCAAAAACCAATTTTGAGTTATTATTACAGGTTTAATATGTAATATGAGAGCTATAAAATGGTAAAAAAATCATTCAAATCCCACACTTCCTTATAAAGTTACAAGCGTTTAAATAAACAGCTGTTTAAAGAACAATTATGAGAAATCTGCCTTCAAAGTTTATGAATTCGGACATTTTTCATGTAGAAACTTTCATGAAATCCTTAAAAAGTGTTGTTTTAACCTTGAAAATGGGGAAAATAACAGCATAAAATGATGTATAGATACATAAAGGTTAGTTTAGTGCAATAAAATAGATTTTAAAAAAAATTGACATTCCAGCATGTTTTGGCCATTTTCTCTGAAACACGATTTGCGTCGAGTGACTGGTTTGGCTTGTCTTTGCCACATTTTTTATGCGTGTTTAATCAGGGTTATAATGTACTGTACATGACAATTTCTGCTTGAAGAGCACGGCAAGATAGATATTTGGACATGCCTGGTTTGGAAACTTGCATTTCAAGTACAGGACGAGCAAAACATCATTTCTATTAAATTTCCTGATGCGAAAAATCATGCTTAACAATCAAAATTATGAATGCATCATTGTCGTCATTATTCTTGTCATAGTAAGTACCACCACCACCATCACCTTAAATAAATCAGTAACTTATGATTGTCATCATCGTCAATTTAATTGGTGTCATCCCCATCACAAAGTAAAGTAAAATTTCATGAAGAGATTATTGACAACAATCTGTCCTAAAAATCTAATCTACACTTTAAAATAAATTTGAATTAACTTGAAATTGAATAGAAGATTGAAAATGTCAGAGTAATAATTTTAAGTAAACATTTAAAAGTTATAATACACAAGGTTTGAAAGACATTGAATAACCTGAATCTTATATTTTGATTTCATCACAATGAAAGCCTATGTTTTAATGGTAAAATGGACCATGTGCGATTAGATTTTTTAGATAGATAGAGAATAGAATAGATAGAGGCATGGTTGGCTAATTCCAATTTCATTAAAAAGTTTTATTTAAAATTCTACTTAAAAAATTGGTGTTGAATCGTATTTAAAGCTGGGCACTCGCTGTGCCCGACTATTGTTGGCCAACATGATTCTATGAAGAATGCAATGCCACGACGCATGTGCAACGGATGGTTTTGACTGATGATTCATTCAGACGACCACTGACAATCATCAGAGTCGCATGGTCTAGTGTTTAAAGGGAGCAGAATTGGATTCGTTGATGCGGTTAGTGCCCAGCTAAAGTGTGTAGTTTAAAAAATTGTTTTTATATTGTTGGTATTTTTTTAATAATTTGTATTAGTTAAATGAAAAACTCTGTAAATGAGCTTTTACCTGCACAATAAAATAGAAATAAATATTATCAACAATCATAGATAGTACATTTACCTATCAAACATATTGTCGTCACCACAGAGAGGCACTTATTATTTTTCTTTATACAATTTAGAGGGTGCAATCGAACTGTTGGCACTCCCCCACCCCTGCATCGCCCCAGTTATGGCCTAAGAAGTGAAGCTTTTTCAATTATGAACAAGAAACCCTACTGTGACATACATTGAATCTTGGATTGGAAGGTAAGAATCTTGACCGCTCAGCTATATACAGCTCCACTTTGTTTCGAGAAAGTCATATAACATACTAGCAAAAAATATTTTGTGGATATTTTTATGCTTGTTCATAAAAACAATAATGTTTTTAACTAACAGGCACGATAAACACGTTGTGCCTCTTTGTGGTGATGACAACGATATGGCTATGAAGTATGGCATCTTACATTTTGTGGCTTATCCTTTTCTTGGTAGCCTAAGGAATATAAAATAGCTTTTTGGCATCAACCATTGAGCAACAATAGATACATTATACAAAATGTCATTAGTTTTGTCATAAAGAAAAAAATATATACATTTTCAATGAAACTACAGTATCAAGAGAATAAAATCACAAAAATTTAGTAATTACACAATGCCAAATAAATACGGTACAATCCAAATAGTTATATTTCTATAAATGACAAATTAAATAACAATAAACTGATTGAAAATAATAAATATTAAAGTACTATAATGCTACCTGGTTATGCATTATCCTATAAAATTGCAGAGCTGCTCTGCTAATTTGAAATTAATGAATTTTGGCTTTTGATCTGCACACATACAATACTGATGAAATGTGGGAAATAGTTACCAGGGGCACATCCAGATGTCCAAAAAGGGGTAGGGGGCTGAAATGGAGGATGTGGAGAATGAAAGTACACTACCCTAGGGGGTCCAGTCCCTCAAAATCTGCCCCTGATTACATTATATAAGGGAAAAAGCCTAATCTCTTTTTTAAGTAGCAAGCCCAGCCCATTTTTAAGAATACTTAATTGTTACAATAGTTTATTAAAGACCTAGAGTACAAGTACCTAATGTAAAGTACATTATTACTATATGCCTGATAATTTTATCTTTGTTATAGTACAATGAATGTAATATTTTGTAGCTACATTAGTAATATTTTGTCTAATCTAAAAGAATCAATAACAATTTAAATCAATATATAAAACTTACCATTGTTCAATATCCAAACATTGGCTGTTCGAATATTTTTTAATGAACCCCAATGTTCATTATTTTTTATGCGCTGAACATTACCATTTTCTTCTACCAACAATACCAGTCGGTTGGTATCTTCTAGTTCTGTTAGCATTTGCTGTTCCGTGGAAATGGAACAATTTTGATTTATAAACATCATCTTTTTAGTTCTGAAAGAATAATAATACTGTATATAATACTCTATATTAGTATTACCATTTTAAATTTGAATTTATAGTTGGGCCACAGTAATTAGTTTCTGAGCTACTTTGTGATTTTCCCCTTCTTTTTAACATTTTCAAAATTACATGCATCCACAAACATTTTTAGTACCCACTGTGTGTGCACTGAACTCTGAAGATCCTTATATAACTATATCATACTGTAGCTCTTGTTGTATTTGAGCTATACACAGTGGCGTAACTAGGGGTTCACATGGCCCAACCCCAGAAAAGCACTTGCCCCACCATTGAAAATGTCCGAAGCAAAAAATCATCTCACCTTATTTTCAAGACCCCCCAATTTTCAATAAGCTGGTTCTTGTGGGTAAAGCTGACCTCCTAAGTGAAGAGTATAACAGGAGGGGTAGAAATAGAGTCGAATGATAGGAATGGGCCACTACCGCAGTGTGTCATGATCAGGCTTGCCTTAATGCCTCAGGTTGCATTGGATACGTAGGCAGAAAACTCATAATACAAACATCCGCTTTGTGAAGAAAACCACATTTGGTAATGAAATCTCTTGAGCGTTTAGAGGTAGAATAAGCAAAAATTACACCAAGACGATAAAATTAAAATGAACTGAAAGATTGTGTAAAAGTAGTACATCTATTAGACTCAGACTCACTTTATTGCATCCTTTTACAAAATTTGTTGCTTGTACATTGTTAAAACTATCAAAATGATATACAGAACAGTTTGGAAGACAAAAAATCTCTACGTTTAAAAGAGTTATTAAAAAAGGGATACCGATTGAATGTAAAAACTACATTGTAATACATTATTAAAACTATTAAAATTGAACTGAAAATTATCCGAATAGGTCTGCTCTCAGCAACCATCAGTAAGCATAATGCTATAATAAATTTTAGTTCCAGTATACCACCATAAACCTGTATTAAACAGCCAAGTCTAACATTGGCCATTATTCATCAAAAAAATATATTCTTTTTCACATTTTTGGGGAATAATTAATACACAGGGGCAAGTCGAGTGGCCGAGCGGTAAGGCAAGGGTGCCGCTAGCTACAGTCATAACATTGGCGCTGGTTCCAGCCGCTCCTTGCCCATGATTCGGTTGGTAGAACCAAGTCTTCTCAGATAAGGACTTAAAATGGAGGTCCAGTGTATACATATGGTTCGTCGTGTGCACTTTAAAGAACCCATTCAGCTTTCAGAAGAGTAGGGGGTTAATGCTATGGTTCATTTCAGCTTTTGTGGAATGATGTGAACATGTAGCTATCATGAAGCGTCGCAGACCACACCTATACACAATTCAGCACAATGGAGCTGCAAGTTATGGGTTATTCTCCTACCTTTACCTTTACCTATACACTAAGGGATTAGAATGGTCAATAGTTTCTCTAGGTACCACAGAATTCATACCCCGGGATCTCAACATGGCTTCACCCCTGGACCCAACTCCACCAGAATTTATCACCAGTGGCATATCTAGGGGTTGGAAGATCAGCTCCTCAAAACATGCTTGTGCTCCCAGGCATCCTCCCATTGAAAAAAATATCACCTTATTTTGTGACCTGCTGTCCCACTTACTTAATCATCTAGCTCCCCTAACTCTCCCTTTGTGTTCCCCCCACTTCAAGATTCCTACATACGCCACTATTTATTGTAAAGCTTCCAACCCCTGAATGTATCCCAGAGAAAATAATGCATAAACGAGTAAATCTTGCTAACCAATATAAGGCATTCAACTAATCTGTCATTCATTTCAACAATTATTGATTTTTCTAACAATAACATTTGAGCACACTATCCAGGGAAGCATAATAATAACCACCCACGCAGTGTGGCAGTATTGATGTCTTTTTCTGTTTTCAAATATTCAGAAGTGAAATACAAAATTGTGCACTCCATAATACTGCAGATTTTGAATATAATTGTATTGTGAGGGCCTGCTAACATTTCACTGTTGGATCTAACTTCAGCAAAATGTATGCAGAAAAGCAGATTGGAATACATACAGTACATACATTGCATTGGGACAGTAAGTATTAAAACATTATGCTTGGAATATTGCTGTCATAAAACAGGGTGTGTGAATTATTAATGTGAGATAGTTATCATGTACAGTTATATGGAAACAGGTTAGCTCAGCTAGCTGGTGGCTGAAGCCAATGTGTGTGCATTGAACCATATAATTATGATTAGGTCCCTGGTTTTAATTCCATCAACATTACTATAATTACTATAATACATCTCGGGACGTTTACTATGCATCTATGGGGCATGCAACCAGAGGCATAACAATGCATCCAGATGCATTGTATCCAGGAGCATTACTATGTATCCAGTATCTAGAACAGACTAATCCTTGATTAGCTGATATATTAAAAGTGGCAAAAGAGACTGCAACCGCACCCCTCACTTACTAACTTTACTAACAATCTATACTAACAATGATGTGAATTTTCTGACTCCTCTTTCCCTTATTAATTGCTATAAATGTCATAATATATATATCCAGTCCTCACATTTTAAAATAAAGCCTACTATTAAGACTACTATAATGAGCCAATGAACCAATCAATGTATAATATTTGTTGGGTACATTTATTGGTTGATCATGCTGTAGGGAAATTCCTATTGACTCAAGCACCATAAATCATCAAGAACAGCCCACTCAACCATCCCCTCCAATCCCAGCCTTCCAAGTTTCACAATAAATTTCCTGTTTTTCAATACACCAAAAATAGGACCCCATAGAGTGCTGGATGCATTATGCAATTGCCTGCTAACTGTTATAAAATGTTTTTAGAAAACCAGACACATATTTCAAGATACATTGCACTTGGATATATACTACATAAACCTACATATGAATCTACGTTAACTGTGAGTATCAAAATATTAAATGTGTTGTAGTGGAGTGTTGAGCAGACAAATCCTTTTTAGTGTAAGTGTACGATGAGATGATAAAAATACACCACACTAATTTATATGTAGAACTGTACAATTTATTCCAAGTGAAAAGCGTATTTACAAAAACACTTGAGAAACAAGTTGATGATATATACAAATTGATAGAAAGCGAAAGTAATGTGTACTCAGGGAGGACAATCTGAGGAGTGTCTGTAAAAGTACAAATGTATGTGATATAGCATCACCTTTCATACCATCTGACCAATAAGGATTAGTAATTGCCTGTCTAGTACCTGGGAAACTCATCAACATTCCCAAATGATGTGTGGTCACTTGAATTAAGGCAAATGACCTTAAGGTAAATGACCTTTCTAAGCTTGGCGTATAACCCATGAAGTTGGGATATTAGTTAAAAATGCAAGGTATTATTTACACACAGATCCTATATAAAAATTTACAGATGGTAGTACTGCTACACCTTGATTGGCTGACTATATTAAGGGTGGCAGAAGCGACTGCAGCCACACCCTCTCCCCTACTAATTTATACTATTTACTAAAGCAAATAAAAGAAGTTACTAGACATTCATATCATAGTATATTGAGATTTAATTCATAATACCACTGGTAATAGTCCAACTGAAATTCTCACTACGAACGAGTACATGAGTTAGCCAGATTTTCGTACATTTCGCAAAATAAAGGAAATATATATATATTTTTTTTAAATGGTGTGGCAGCGAAAATGGATGCGGGAGGTGGCGAGAAACTAGTATTTTTTTTTTTACTTGGCCTTATATGTTGTTAGGGAAAATATTTGGGGATATTTTTTTGAAAAGTGATCTTTCTTAATTTACTCCATAAATTGTAAGGAATTGTTTTACTGCCGTATAACCTGCATTCCTGGAAAAAAAGGTCACTAATTCGGACCAACGGGCCTTCGGACCTAAGGTACGCACCCATGTACCCAAATTGAAATACAAAAAGTATTATATACCACTCTCACTAAACTCATTTTTATTTTGATATAATTTTTTTAGGTGGTAGATTTTGATGTACACTATTTATAAATATAAAATAAATTTATAAATATTTAATGTAAAACTGGATGATTCGGAAACACAGCCTTTTAGTGAAAGCGATTAGGTTCGCTTTAGTGTTTCTATCCAGCTCACTCAGTTGACTGGTTTTTCTTTGTACTGTTTATGATGTTTTGGAAATAAAAAGAATAAGAATAATAGAGTAGGCCTATAGCTCCATCGTGGGAGATGTTTTTTTAACATCGTTGTTTAATGAAGAACCTTGACATAAAACATGGGTCAATGAGCAGTGTCAACCAATCATTTCATATATTCACGTTAATAACTCTAGAATATTGTAAACATTACCATGCAGATTGTTCATATACAAGGAAGCATTGATTCTACATAAGTACCTAGATATCCAGGTCCGATTTTCGTGTTATTTCCAATTCAATTGTGAAACAGATGTTAGATGTTTGAGGTTGTATGGTGGAAGGCAAATGAGTCAAACAGAAACCAGAATTTGAGTACAATATATGTATATATATATCTTGGTATCTTTTATTAAAAACAGTATAAAACATGTAGTGGCAAAATAAAATTCCTTGGCAGCCAGTGGCTGAATTGAGGAAGTTTCTTTTAAATAGCAGGCCTGTAACACCAAAATTGGCCCGGGCCAAAAGATGTCCGACGGACAGATTTTGCCCGCCAAAGTCGGTTCGCCGGACTACTTTTGGGTCATCCTTGGATAAAACCTGGCAGCTTGTAACACGTCTGCTGCACGTAGGGTATGATTATTTCTCCTGTGGAGTTGAGGGAAATAAATTTATGCTTCTCCCACACTTGAAAAGTCTTTTGCAGCGACAGAATGATTCGTATTAAGCTTTTGTGGACGTGTTTTATCAAACACACCTGATAATGCATTTCCTAGGCCTAGACGACACACAGCATGCATCATTTTTGGCAGCCGTGCTTGGCCTAGGTTTGGGCCTTGAATATGGGCCTAAAATGAAACACAAGACTGATTTATTAGTTTTAAATATCCTATATTA